TTTTTTTTTTTTTTTTTTTTTTTTTTTTTGAGACGGAGTCTGGCTCTGTTGCCCAGGCTGGAGTGCAGTGGCGGGATCTCAGCTCACTGCAAGCTCCGCCTGCCGGGTTTACGCCATTCTCCTGCCTCAGCCTGCCGAGTAGCTGGGACTACAGGCGCCCGCCACCGCGCCCGGCTAATTTTTTATATTTTTTCAGTAGAGACGGGGTTTCACCATGTTAGCCAGGATGGTCTCGATCTCCTGACCTCGTGATCCGCCCGTCTCGGCCTCCCAAAGTGCTGGGATTACAGGCTTGAGCCACCGTGCCCGGCCAAGTTCATCTTTTGAGGTATTAGGGATTTGGACTCCAATATGTCATTTTGGGGAAACAGAATTCAATCTATAGCAATTGCTCACACTCACATAGCATTTTATTGTATGAGGATTCTAGTTGCCCTGCATCCTCCCTAGTACTTTGTGTGGTCAGACTTCAGGTTTTGATCATCTTTTGGGTATGAAATAGCCTCTCATAGTAGCTGTAATTTAATTAGTTTTGAGTTTGAGCATCTTTTTATATGTTCATTCCTTGACTGGCCTTGATGTTTGCTCTTCTGTGAAGCCTTTTCCTTTCTTTTTGCCTTTTCTTGTTGATTTGAATTTGAATTTTTAAAAATAAATCATTGAGATGAACTCTTTATCAGATGTTCCAATCTGTGGCCTACCTACTTGCTTTTTAAATTTTTTTTATTGAGATGGAGTCTTACTCTGTCACCTACCCAGGAGTGCAGTGGCATGATCTCAGCTCACTACAACCTCCGCTTCCCAGGTTCAAGCAATTCTCCTGCCTCAGCCTCCTGAATAGCTGGGACTACAGGCGTGTGCCACCACACCTGTCTAATTTTTGTATTTTTAGTAGAGATGGGGTTTCACCATGTTGGCCAGGCTGGTCTTGAACTGCTGACCTCAAGTGATCCACCTGCCTTGGCCTCCCAAAATGCTGGCATTACAGACGTGAGTCACCACGCCCGGACCCTACTTGTTTTTTTTTGATACGGAGTCTTGCTCTGTCGCCAGGCTGGAGTGCAGTGGCACGATCTCGGCTCACTGCAACTTCCAACTCCCGGGTTCAAGCAATTTTCCTGCCTCAGCCCCCCGAATAGCTGGGACTACGTACGTGCCACCAGGCCTGGCTAATCCTAAACCGAATACTACAGTGTTACAATTTTTTTTTGTTTTTTTTTTT